CCTAATGCACAACTACTAGCTGACTTTGCAGCCTTCATGAGCATAGGACCAGGGAAGAATTTTCAAAGAAGCAGAAACCAATCACAAAGAGGAGGAGGCATAGGGTCTAAGTTCAACAACACAGTACAGAGGTTCCCCAAGTCTCAGCAGAAATTCAAAGGGAGGAAGAAATACAACCCAAATGTGACCTGTTCCTATTGTGGAAAAACAGGTCATTCTCAAGAAGACTGTTACAGGATCATTGGATTCCTAGAAGATTTTGAGTTTACAAATCAGAAGGGGTACCAGAATCAAATCAAAGGGAATGCAGTACTGACACATGATGAACATGAAGGGTCAGCAGGACAAAGCAATGAGCACAACAACAATTTTGGACAGCAGCTAAGCAAAGAACAGATAGCTGAAATGATGCAGATGTACAAGCAAGCAAAGCTAACACAGGGAGGAAACAATGGAATCAATGCCAATGCAGTTGCTGGTACAATTTTAAAATATTCAAGTTCAGTTTTCACTACTCTAAAATCAGATACTTGGATCATTGATTCAGGTGCCTCAGAGCACATGTGTTTTGACCCAAATTCTTTCTTATTTTTAACTCCTCTTCCTGTCCCTTTAAACATCAGTTTGCCTAATTCATTCAAGGTAATTGTCACTCACATAGGAAGCATCACTATACTGCCAGGTCACACTCTGAACAATGTATTACATGTTCCAGAGTTCAAGTATAATCTATTGTCAGTTAATAGATTTTGTATTCAATTCAAATATGATGTATTGTTCACATCAGTTGAGTGTGTGTTGCAGGGCCTTTCAATGAAGAGTCCTCAAGCTATTGGTGAAGTTAGAGAAGGGCTCTATCTATTGGAACCAAATAGTGTCAAGTCTAAAGTCTTCTTTAGTAATGATGTATTTTCTATTCCAAAAGGAAGAAATTCCATTTCAAAGTCAGTTTCCTTTCCTAGTTCAATTCAAGCTAATGTTGTTAGTGATTTTAAGCTTTGGCATGTAAGGTTGGGACACCTCCCATTTTCAGCAATGAAACATTTAGATTTCCTTCATTGTAAACCAGATTCTGATTTTATTTGTGATGTTTGTCCTAGGGCTAAACAGACTAGAAACCCTTTTCCTGTTAGTGCCATCAGGACCAAGCAAATATTTGATCTTATTCATGTTGACACATGGGGACCCTATAAGTCAAACACCTACAATGGATTCAAATATTTTCTAACTATAGTAGATGACTATAGTAGAGGGACATGGACATTCTTGTTAAGTACAAAAAGTAATGCTTTTCCTATGCTCAAGGATTTTCTGTCTATGGTTGAGAGGCAATTTAATGTAAAGGTGAAGATCATAAGATCTGACAATGCTTTAGAATTGGGAAAAGGAACTCAAGAGGCAGCCTATCTTTCTTCTCAAGGAATTCTACATCAATTGTCTTGTGTAGCAACTCCTCAACAAAATGGGATTGTTGAGAGAAAGCATAGGCATTTTTTGGAAATTGCAAGGGGCTTGATGTTTCAGTCTAAGCTGCCTATGAAGTATTGGGGGGAATCCATTCTAACTGCCACCTATCTCATTAATAGAATGCCTTCTAGTGTGCTTAATGGAAAGACACCATATGAGGTCCTATTTCAGAAGAAACCTAAGTATGATTACTTTAGGAATTTTGGTTGTCTTTGTTATGCTTCAACACTAGCACAAGGAAGGGGGAAATTTGATGAGAGGGCAACAGCTTGTGTATTACTTGGCTATCCTATTCATCAGAAAGGCTACAAGCTGTTAGAGTTGAAAACAGGAAAGGTATTTGTGTCAAGGGATGTGAAATTTCATGAATCATATTTCCCTTTTGCTGAGAATAAGTCTACCAGACAACCCATTTTTTCAAATCCAACCCTTACCACAGAAACTACACATTCACAACCATCAGAAGATCCACTCTCACCCATTCCTTTGGAACCTGAAAATTCTGACAGTATATCCTCACCTTCATCTCCACATAACTACATTCAAAGATCTCCCTCACAACAGTCTTCTAGTCCACCCCTTTTTCAACCTATTCTAGATACAACACACCTCTCCTCATCTACCCAAGAATCTCAACAGCACACACCAGTAAGAAAATCAGGAAGGGTATCCAAGCAACCAACCTACTTGAATGACTATGTGTGCAACAACATCATGCTCACAGATGTGGAAGGTATTTGTTTCCATCAACCATGTAACCCTAGGCAGTACTGTTTTTCCTCTCTTTCACCCAACAACCAACACATCATACAGTCCCTCTCTACAATCACTGAGCCTACTACTTTTTCTCAAGCTTGTCAACATCCAGGTTGGGTAAAGGCAATGGAATCAGAAATCAAGGCCCTGGAAGACAACAAGACATGGGATGTGGTTGAATTGCCTAAAGGAAAAAGAGCTCTACCTTGCAAATGGGTATATAAGGTAAAACATCTGTCTGATGGAAGGATAGAAAGACTGAAAGCAAGGCTGGTGGTAAGGGGGGATGTTCAAAGAGAAGGGATAGACTATAGTGAGACTTTTTCACCAGTTGTGAAAATGACAACTATAAGATGCCTGCTCACTATAGCAGCCAAGAGAGATTGGAATGTCTCTCAATTGGATGTCAACAATGCATTCTTGCATGGAGACCTTCAGGAAGAAGTATACATGAAGTTTCCTTCTGGTGTTCCACCTCCTAGTTCTAAACATGTATGCCTTCTCAGAAAGTCATTATATGGTTTGAAGCAAGCCTCTAGGCAATGGTATGCCAGACTTGCTGGAGCTTTAAGTTTTAAAGGATATTCATCTTCATTAAATGATTATTCTTTATTCTTTAAACGTACAGGGGAACTAATTTCCATCCTACAGTATATGTCGATGATATCCTACTTACAGGGAATGATCTAGAAGAAATTCAGCACATTAAAGGTTTTCTCAATACTGAATTCAAGATCAAAAACCTAGGGGATATACACTATTTTCTAGGAATGGAAATTTTGCGAGAAAAAGAAGGTTTCATTGTGAATCAAAGGAAGTTTACCTTAGATATGCTCCAAGAATTTGATGTGTCTCATTTGAAATCAGTCAGTTCTCCCCTGGATCCCTCCTACAAGCTCGTTTCTGATGATGGACAACCTTTGGCAAATCCCACAGTCTTTCGCCATTTGGTTGGAAAATTGAACTACTTAACAAATACTCGACCAGATCTCTCCTTTGCAGTTCTTTCTCTCAGTCAGTACATGCAGAGGCCATGTGTTTCCCATTTCACTGCTGCATTGAGAGTCTTGAAGTATTTGAGTACAGATCCGGGTCAAGGTATTCTCCTTTCAGCAACCCCATCTTTTTCTCTGCTTGCATTTTGCGATGCAGATTGGGCTTCTTGTAAAGAATCCAGAAGGTCTGTAAGTGGCTATTTCATCACACTTGGAGGAGCCCCCATTTCCTGGAAATCAAAGAAACNGAACCATGCAAAGTGTATCTAACGGTAAAACAGCTACAACTCATCCGCAGTTACAAGGTGACTTTCGTTTCAATCAGATTAACTGATTTAGGCATAAAACACTCTTTACCTCGTTTGCCCTAATCTTTTTACGATTTGCCCGCTTTGTAAAGACTAAAGAGTGACCTATTTGCGTACGTGGTAAATGGTAATCTACTTTATGTTGAGTTCAAAATAGTCTCGTCAAAATAAAATTCTGAAGGAAAATATAGTCTTTCTTCGTAAAATGAATTATGAATTAAAGGGAGTCGAAATTTGGGTGATAGCAAAGAGCTATTCGATCTTCTGTTTAGTTGGACTGATTTCCCCAGCTAAGAAAGACGTGCTTTTGATATTATTTTGCAGAATTTAGGTGGCGCTAGTAGTTTTCCGCTTTTATAGAAGCCGAAAATCTGAAATGCTTTTTTTTTTCTTTTCGCTTTTGGTTAAAAGATAACTTTTGCAAAAAATCTTCAAATTTTTGAAACAAACACCACTTAGATTGGTGCACTTTCTTTTTATAGACATGTAACAGAAGCCTTATAGGTTTGCTATTCGTAGAAGCAAGTTCCAGTTTTGCTTGTAAAAAGGAATTGAAGCCTTTTGGTCCCATTTGCCTTTGCCTTATGAGATTTATAATTTTCACAGTACTCAAATTTGTTCTCAAGCAATATTTTCTTTAAGTCAAAAATGCCCTTATTCTTGTCAGGACTTTCATTGATTGTGTAAAATATAAATGTAAACTAACTTGATAAAGAAGTATAGAATACCACTTGTGGTTAGAGAAATATATTGTATGCATGGCAATCATTCGAACTAAGCTCAGATTAAATAAGTAAAGATCACATGCGGAGAGTTGGCGACTTATTTTAGTAGTTACTGAAACATGTTGACCATTCACCTAATGTTCGTATTCTTCATTATTTTCTCTATTTAGATCCACCTATTTGTTAAGAAGAAGAAACCCCATCCTAATCTTATGATTCATGGAACTATACAAGGGAAAGAAGAAGAAAGTAAAGAAGAGATGAAGATGAAGAGTAAAGTGGTCTTCGATATATTTGATGTTGTCTGAATCTCTTTTTGGACAAACAGCTGGGTTTACCGGATATTGGGCTTCTAATAATGTTCAGCTTTGGATCATTATTGTTAGGCGGATTATTATTGTTTGGGCCAGCTGAAGATAAAGCCCTATCAGCCTTATCAGGCTTATTCATTTTACAAGCTTATCCATTTCATATATTCTTTTATTGTTATTGTAAATAGCATGTGATTAGTTATAGAGTAGCTAATAGAATAGAGACAAGTGTATAGGTGGTTATTTCCTAGATTCCTTTTCAGCTGATAAATAGTACAATGTACAGTGACATGAAATCATCAATACAAAAAATATACGATATTTTCTCAAAATTAGATCTCTTCAAATCCTTCATGGTATCAGAGCAATAAGCTCGATCCAACAGTTCATCCATCATTCTTTTACATCAAAGTTCATCCTCAAAATCAGTAGCCTAAAATGGTTGAAACAACTGCAACTGCTACTGCTGAAGCAAGCAGTGCTGCAAAAACTGTAGCCTATGATGCTAATCATCCCTATCATCTCAACAGTTCTGACTCTCCTGGAATGACATTAGTCAACTCTGTATTTGAAGGAAGAGGGTATCCAGGATGGAGAAGATCCATTCTCCTGTCTCTATCAGCCAAGAAGAAGCTTGGCTTTATCAATGGAGACTGTCAACCTCCAGATTTGAAATCCCCAGAGTATGAGCAATGGAGTTGTGTGAATGACATGGTCATTTCTTGGATCCTAAATGCCCTTTCAAAGGACATTGCAGATAGTGTCATTTACTCCAAGACTGCTAAAGATCTTTGGGACAGTCTTGAGCAAAGGTTTGGAAGATCCAATGGAGCTAAGCTATATCACCTGCAAAAGGAATTATCAGGGTTAGTGCAAGGAAACTGTGACATAGCAGGATACTTTACTAAGCTCAAAAGATTATGGGATGAATTAGATGCTTTGAATGTTATCATATGATGTTCTTGTATCTGTGTATGTGAAGGAAAGGCAAAGCTGACAAAATCCCTGGAAGATCAGAGATTAATTCAATTCCTAATGGGTCTAAATGACACCTATGCTCAGGCAAGAGGGAACATTCTTATGATGAACCCTCTACCTAGCATGGATGTTGCTTATTCACTCCTCCTGCAAGATGAGAATCAAAGGGAAGTGTATGCTAATGCACAATTCAACTCTCCACCAGTGTCATTCATGGCAGCAGGAGAAGATAAGGAACCTAATGCACAACTACTAGCTGACTTTGCAGCTTTCATGAGCACAGGACAAGGCAAAAAAACTTTTTACGAAAACGGGGGTTAGGAAAAACCCGAAC